CCTAGCTTCACTGACGAACAGACTGACAGACTACTTTTCTATTTTGACGTTTCAAAAGTACCTATTTATGGTTTAGTTGGAATAAATGATTTTGACTTTGACTTTGACTTTGACTTCGTGGAACGAACGACAACAAACTAGTCAGAAGTACTTATTGTTGTATAGATTTTTGCTGGATTTGCAATATCACCGATGTTCCTTTCAAAACAAGTAAAATAATAATGCTGAAATGATTTGATTTGATTTGAACCCGGTAAAAAAAAACTTCATCCTTTGAGAGTCCAACAAGTACGATAGATTGTGATGATTGTGAAACGTTTCATTTTTTTTAAATGAATTTTGTAAAAATAGTAATTAAACATACAATCGAAGTACCAAAAGATAAGAATTTTGCTAAAGGTAAAAAAAATAATTAGTTTTATTCCGATTTGTAAGTAATGACTGAAACAATTGACAACTGTCACAGGATTTTGGTTGTCAACTGTTTGTGTCGATCAAAACAAATCGAGAACCAAAACAAATAAAATATGATCCATGAAAACAATCCTTCGTTATCCAACACTTTCGTTTTTCTATGTGGTAGATTAAATTTTATTGTATTTTCAATTTATTTGTTTTTTGATTTCTTTGTATTCCTTCAATATCTTCATAGATTTTCAAAAATGTACTACTTATTTTAGTTTATAAGTATCTTCTAACACGCATGTTGGATTCACATCTAGTAGATGTCAATCAGATAAGTTGTGCGAGCAGACGGATTACCCCATGGCAACAACAGAAAAGTTAAGAGTGCGTGCCGACCATTCGAGGATAATGGACTTGGAGGTTTATGGACTTGCAGAGGGAAAGGATTGGGCCCAGATAACCTCAATCATACGGCGAAACACAACGCTGTAGTTGTTTCAAGCTGGTATTCTGTGAGGCCGTGGTATGACTTCGGTCGAGCCGACCCATTCATTTCAAAGTATGGCTCTCCCACACTTAAAATCATATTTTTAATGTGGCAATTAACTTTTATTTTCTAACGAATCAATTAGACTGATGTTTCAGATTGTCAACCACCAATTCAATGAAGTATTTAACGACACTTTGTATTGTGTCTGCGTACAGTTTTACAACGTAATAAAATTACCAAACGTCAGTGTTAAGAATTTTTATGGCGACAAATTGACAATTCACCGGAACGTTTCCAACTTCACCCATTCTATTGGGGAAAGAATCGAATAATACCAAAAACTGTTCGCTCTCGATCTTTTTTATTGCTCTAATTTATGGATGACACGTATTTAAGGTGTTTGCGAGGTTGTATTTAACTTTTAAGGTGATTTTTCCGTTCGTAATAAAATTTTGGTAGGTTAATTTTTTACTACCCTGTAAAATGGTTATGTATTTTCACTATTCGAATTTAGAAAGAATTGTAGGTCATTTAGTGGGTCTACTAACAAAAAATTGTAAAATTTTTAGTTGGACATTGCACGAGACTTTTTTATATTATTTATATTCTTTTTTTATATACTTATATTTTTTTATATATTTTCTGGTTGTAAGTTTAATAATGTGCCTGCTTGTTGTTCCTTTTTTGAAAAATAAAATAAAAAATCTAGAATTGTGCCACTTACTTACATTATTGTAACAAGGAGGTTATGTAACAGTCACTTAAATAACATCACTCAAGTAACGTGGACTACATTCCTCTGACATTTCACAGATAAAATATCGTGACGTTATGACGAAGACGAATGAATAACATTATTTCCATGGAATGGCACTTGGCATTTGCACTGGGTAAAAGTAAGTAAAACAATGAACTATTTAAGAGGAAAGAAAAATCGCTTGTAATACAAGAAATATATAAGTATTATAAATATATGAGTATATGGTCTTCCGAATCCTCAATCTTCATCATCTCCTCATCTCCGATACTTAAATCTCGAATAACCCACTAAAGGCCGACCACGTGCTTTGGTGTTACGACGAGTATCTATGGGCGACGCCGAAAGTTTGTTTTCAGACCTGACACTTGAAAAAAAGTTGTGTATATAAATAAAATTAGGTACTAATATTCTACTGCATTTTTGTTAAAAACTCATTTCCTTTTTCATCCAAAGGTATCATTTAGTAGGTAATTAACATCAAAACAATATACCGTAAACTAATTACATGTTAACACAATAAAACCAAAGCATTTCCCGCTTACAACGCTCAAAGCTACAGGATGTTCGTGTTTTACATACAAATCTTCTGAATCTAGTTACGTCTCCCCAAGCATACAGATATTTCACCTCACGCGTGCTAATTAAATTCCCAATTTAATTTGAACGTGAGATACGAACCTTATTGTCTAATAAGAGCTTTGTTTAGCCAAAAAATAGGTAATAAGTATTAATTGCCTTGTGATTGATTGCAATAGACCTAACTTGTATTTGTTTTAACAGTTAGTATTTTAAGTTTTTGTTTTCTTTTTCTTTTTTTTTTCCTGTAATGATTACTTTTCGCTTCCTATATTAATGTTTTTGTTGTAGTTTTAAGTTTATGTGTGTTCTGCGCGAAAATAAATGGTTTTTCTTTCTTTCTTTCTTTATTTCAATTCTTATTAAATAAGGTTGAGCGAATAACTTCAATAATGTGTCAATGAAACAGATTTTTTTTTCATACCACTAAGCTATATATAGGGGTAATCTTTGGAACCGCTGATCCGATTGCCAAAATTATTTCACTGATAGCTACAATGTTCCTGAGTGCTATAGGCTAAAAACATTACGCTACGATAAAATGGAGCCGAGCAGCGGGTGAAACAGCGCGAGAGTAGCTAGTTGGTAATAATTTAAGTGGATGATTTTATTTTAAAATTAATAATGGTCTGGTCTTTGGCTACTAACGGGACCTGGTGGTAAGAAATGAAGCGCTGACGTACGATGGAGCACGCCTACCCCTAAGCAACTTATTCACTGGGGCCTTGAAGACAACCTTCAGGTTTTCGCACTACCTTTCCTCAGTAGTTCTAATGATAAAACTGTAAAAGCGAACCGACGACGATGAGTTATCCACCATGAAGTGGTGGCGTTTTATCAATCGTCTGGTGGTGTTATGGTGCAAAACACTAGGTGAAACCAAGCTCCTTCGAATACTCGCTGAAGTGTATCCGATAAAAAACCGAAAGGCTATATTACAACTTTACGCCTGTTTACGAGGCCTCCATAAGATGCTCAACTTTTTACCAGCCAGTGGTGCCTTGACTCTATGTAGGAGCCAAAGTTAAGAAGGGCCATCAGAGTATTTATATCCCAAACGAAACAATAACCATAGAGTAAAGACCCATTACCTAAACAATCACGAGCCTATTAAACTCCACGACCCGTTTTTACGGCGCGACTTTTGACAGCAAACCCGTAAATAGTTTATGTTTTACGCTGATTCTTATCACTTAGATTACGTGATATGCCTTTTTTATTCGTCATTTTTTATGAATAAGTCATAATTCCACGTTGTTGTAATGTTTTATTGGGTTCTAATACAATCGCATAGTTATTGCGGATCTAAACGAAAAGATTATGTTGGACACAAAGTGACAGTTACGACAATAGGCACAAAAATGTTGAAAATTGTTCAAATGTGTAACTTAATAAATAGAAATTTACGGCTATATAAATCATAAATAGGTACAAATTAATTTCAAAAAGATTGAAACAAAGACGAACCGATTATTTTAAAACCCCGTATTATTCTATTTGTCTAAATAAAACAAATTTGTGGTGGCTTGGAAGTCAATGCACCCGCTTCGAAAACATCTTGAAAAAACCTTATTTTGTGAGGGGAAAACCAAGTCAAATGACTTTATTCTCTCCCCCAGGGTGAAGCGAGAATGAGTGTCAGACTATTACTGCTTAAAAACCCCTATTCTATCTCGTGCTCCAGAACAAGGCCATGGTACCTTATGGCGGTTGACACGCAACGCCTGTTCGAGCATAACTGCTTCGCAGAAAGAGGAGACGGCTTCCCAGTTTATCTCGCTCCGCACAATGAGCACCTAAGCCCGGAGGTGAAAGGTCGCTGCCGCCGATCACTTTCCTAAGGACACAGCATTGCTTAGTCCAAGCAGGACACCGCCACCGTATGCTCCACCTTGTCCACTTGGTGGTCCTCAAAATGACGATACTTGGGGGTGTTTTTCCGCCTCCCGGATCCAAAAGTGTTAGTCCACTTAAAAATGGCCACGAAGTCGCTTGTATTAGAAAATAAGCTTATTGCTATAATTGAAGATATTTAGTGCTTATTGCTAATAATTTAATATAGATAAACCCAATAATACTTTTGATCTAACTGAAACCACTGATGAAATCTTAAACTCTTTCTATGACAAACACAATCACTCAATGAAACATTCAAATAATTCGTAATAAGTATCATATACCATACCCCTATAACAACGACATTATTCGACGAGGGGTCATAAGTCAAGACCACACCTCCACACACATCCGTCGATTACACATATTTATAATAAACTTGTGAATCAATTCTATTCATTTGACACGACACTCAATACCATTCGCCGTTCAAACAATTACAACACTAAACATATCTTATTAACTTCAATATTTACAAATACTTTCATTGTTTGTGTGAACAGTAATAATTCTGTATCAAACACATCCACACATTGTTGGATTGTTACTCAAACTGCGCACACAACACACGTGCCTTACAAAAAACTACACAAATTTTAAAAACGCTTTTCACATTAAAAAGTGGTGCATGTAAAAATTACATAAAATTCTGCCAGACTTTATAAAGTGCAAATAAGTTCGACCAGAATAAAATTCCAGTAACGTTTCTGTTTAAAACTGATGTAATTTGCGTCGACTAACGTTCAAACTATTCCTGGTTCCATAAAAGTGCAATCTCATTTGAACCCAATAATTCCTGATCGTGAAACCAATTTGCGCTTGTTGAAAATTTAAAACAGAAGATGAAATTGTACCACCTTGTGTTTTTAATAGTGAGTATCGAAGCGAAGCTTCGGACTAAATTCTGCGACTTGCCTTCGTCAGACCCAACTAAGCATTGCTTTGTGAAAGAAATTTTAACGACCATTGCACACAGCCCCAACCAATTATCAGTGGACAAAACTACCAACACGCTATACTTCAGCTTTGATTTCGGACAAGGAGAGTACGTGCCGGCAATACTTCATATGGAAACTAGAAATCTAAGTGTGTTAAAAGGAGTTAAGGACGCTTTTGCTATAGCCAATGATCCTACAACAGGAGAAATGTACTTCGGAGGCAGTCATGGGATCTACAAGTACAGTGCAGCTAAAAAAATCCTACAGCGGTTGAACATCAACAATTTAGACATCTGGTGGCTTTTTATCAAGAAGAATATTTTCTTTATCAAGTTTCCAAGTCTCAGTGCGTATTACTATGAGAACAAAACAATAAAGGCTGTTCCAGAGCTGAGAGGTGATATAGTTCATCAATTTGTTTTTGATAAAGAGGATAACATTTTCTTTATCAATGGTTCAGGTTTATTCGGTATTAAGCATGATGACACCACGCCAGTATTACTGAGGGATCACCCAAGATTTCTGGGGATTGCGACGGATAACAATGGATTCGTTCATGTCTGTAGCGAGGATGGTATATTTGTTGTCACACAAATGGTGCCAAAGGTGAAGAAAGTTATCAACGTTCAAGGAGTTTTGGGTATGACGTTCGACAAATCTAACAATATAATCTATTCAGATTCCCACGAGATTATAAGGCTACTTCCTTTATCAAGAGAAAATTATAATGAAAATGATCGCGGATTATAAAAAAGCCCGTATAGGCAATAGTGAAATTTCTCATCATATTAAATAGGAAATTCATTGAAGAACGGATAAATAATTTTTAATACAAATTAATTTATCTGTGTGCAAACAATAAAACATCGTTTTAAAAACAGCCTTAGAAAGATAGTTTTAAGTAGGTAAATATGTACAAATGTACATAATAATTATTATGTAATTATAATCAATATTATTTTAATAATAAATGAATGAAATGAACAAATAAAATTGTTTAGTCTAATTATAAAAAAATGGGGCAGAGACAAGAGCGAAGTTTTAAATTTAGAATTCTACAGTAGTGACGTCAAGACTGACAGACTGACTTAGGAATGCTTAAAAATAATTCTAAAGTTTGAAACATTAAAAATCGTTCCTGTAAATGGTTCAAAAATATTACCAGCATCGTTCAAGATCATTAATTCCAGTGGAAAGTAAAACTGTCTGAAATTTAAATAAACGATCTTAAATGCATTGCCTTTAGTTTTATTCTGAATGTATAAAATTATAGTTTTTGCATCCTGGGCCTTTGCCAAATGGTGATGACCAAGTATTTTCATAATGTTTAAGGTGGAGGGAATAACTTACTCTTGATGTTAACTATATTTTTATCTGATCAAGTAAAGAAGATTTTTTAGCCACGGTTTCGCAGCAGGAGGAGGAACGGGGTAGTGTTAAGTCAGTAAGAGTCCGACAGTCCCTCTCGCCTTCTCAAATAAAAGATGATGGTGAGGCCAGTGAGAAAAAAAGATGATCAGATAACAAGTGAGGAAAAATGTGGAGAATATAAATATGACAACACATGACAAAACTGTATAAACTAATGTTAAAAATAGCATTTTGTAATTCCATTATAAGTAACTCTTTTTTTTATTTTACTTTTCAATTACAACTTGAAATAGCCTTAAATAAACTTTAAGTGGTAGAAATAATGCTCTTGAACAAGGACCAGCTCGAAGGGCCTTACAGAAAAGAGGCGTGAAACGACGCTTATGTTTTGTTTCGCCGTTTGAGAACGGTAACTGGAGGCTTTCCTTAAGAAAAAACGTTACCCCTCGGTACCCAATTTTCTCCTGTGTTATGGATGTGTTTGACATACAAATTCACATACACAAGCCATCCGAAAAAACATCTTGTGGTTCACACAAAATATCGTTCCGTGCAGGAATCGAAACCGCGACACGTTGCACAGTTGCTAGTTGCTCAGCTACTACGCCAACCGAGCAATCAAATTGATTCAGAATATTTAGTCAGTTTGTATATTTCGAAGTAAATCCGGATATTATCCATGCCCTAGTTAACAAACAGTGATATAAGTCAACATGCGATGTATTTCAGTTCAATGTTTACACACATGTTGACGTGGCTATTTCACAGACGTTACAAAATAAACATACTGTTATTGTCTGAACTGGATTCATACTGTGGAATTGTCTGCATTGCATCGTCCCTAGTTACACATATTTCGAGATGCAGAAATACCATTAGATTGTTAACATGTTTGTTCGTTTGTTTTGCAAAATATTTAATGCGACGTGGCAATAAGAACCTTGAAATATTTTTCTTTACTTATGTAGGTGTTAATTATCTGGCAAATTTTGAATTATTTTGGCTGACAGTTTACTTTATGAATAAAACCTGGATGACCGAGCATCATCACCTGTAAGTGTCCAAATGCCTCTCCTGAGCAAATGCCTCTTCTGACACGGAGCACGTTTGATCATTAATCACCACGCTTGCTCAAGGCGGATTGGCAATTTAAAAAATATAATTAGTAGTTATAAGTTCTGGTTTCATCGCGATGTTTTCCTTCACCGTATGTAAATAATCATAGAAAGTACACACATATAACTCGGAAAAGTCACATTGGTACTTGCCAAGGTTCGAACCCGCACCCTCATGCTTAAAAAGCGGGCGGCTTAACCTTCAGACTACCACGACAGCTTACTGACCACTGGATGGCCGAGCAATGTTCTTTATTATCATATACCTGCTTATATTTTTTGTGAATCTTACCTAGATTGTATATTCCTCCCTGAAAACCTTTACGTAAAAAATTTCATCGAAATATTTGTAGCCGTTTCTGAGATCCTGTGTATGTATTTACATGTAGGTTTACATTATATATGCGAAAGGACTAAAGGTATTAGAGATATTTAGATTTGTTAATAATAACGTAATACTATTTGAATAAGTTTTGGATGACTTCTGTTTGACAATAACAAAACATTATCTAGGCCATCTACAGTTAAAAAACCAGTACAAACTGATCTTTAAATGTGCGGAAAGATCATTTGAAGCGAGTCCACGATATGTTGGTATTTTATAACTAATGTGTAACCGTATATGTGAAGCCCTGAGCTTAGTGATAGCTAGATACAGATAGCTAGAATTGCATGCAATTGTATATTTGCATATATTATGTAAATCATATTTTGCCTAGTATTATAGGAAGAAACTAGCTTTATATAGCTGTTCTAATTCCAATAATTCCAATTTATAGATATACATACTAGCGGTCGCCCGTGGCTCCGCCCACGTGGGAATTTAATTGAAATTGAAAAAGTGTAATGTCGACAACATTACACTTTTTCATTGTGACATTTATTTATACCCATATACATATATAAACAATGAATTAATTTTGCAAATAGGCCATAAAACGGCACTTTTACACGTCAAATTATATGTGAAAAACTAGATGAAGCCGGCATTTCCTATCTGACTACTCTGAGAAGAAATGCCGAAACAAACTCAGAGGTCCTTCTCTTTTCAAGATATATGTAGATTATTTATAGATATATGTTTATACATTTCTTTTCTTTTTCATTTTTATCCCCGATAACTGTCATTCTTTCTCAAATTCATCCAACCCATTGTTTTATTATCGTCAATAGTTTATCAATGTACTTCCCTTTATAGAAATACCTGTATTTGATTAAAGAATTTACTTCATTTACATTCCAAACACTAGAATCTTTATTAAATACTGAAGCAGAGTGATTATGTTTGTATGTATGCTGTTTATTACAGCAGGTCAGTTATTATTGGTTGCTATGTGGAGTGTATAGGTATCATCACTCAAAAGAGGTTTTTATATACTAAGCTAAAATCAAATTAAAAACAAGTTTTATAAGTTTCCGAACTAGACATTTTAGAGACGTTTTTCATAGTTCAGAGTATAATCATTCATGCTTAGCATTCAAGCATGCACAGCTTAGCATTTATGGTCATGGCGGCGTTGATTGCTTACCATCAGGTAATCCGTCTGCTCGTTTGCCGACTTACATAAAAAAAAACTAGTAATATTCCAGTTTCCAATCATAATACGAAAACCTTCAACAGAATATTAAAGTGATCTTTCAAATCAATACCCACATCCATTCTACCAATTAGACAAATTTATTCACAATAATTCCAATTTTATTCGCTAATAGTGACTATTGGTTTCAATACCAATAAAATTGGTTTAATGTATAAACGTTTGGCAAACATTAGTTCACCGAGTTCGTGCTTCATCTGATATGGAAAGCATTACCAATATCAGTATATACAACATGCAACCTTTATTTATATAAATAGTTGTTTGGTCGCTGCAAATATTTGATAACGGTACCTGTTAATGATTAGAAATAAATAAAGGTTTGTGTTAATATTAATATCAACCCGAAATGACACGAAACAACATTCTTGTGACCTGGGCCTCGAGTCTACTTTTACAATAGTGTCAGAATAGTAGATCATTGGTTTCAAAATTGTTGATTTTGACAAGTTTGGTAATCTACTAACACGTTCATTTAAATAATTCTTTAGAACGGTAATCTCGTACATAATGACAAATGAATATTTGACATAATGCGGTACATTAATAAAAAAATGTCAGTTCCTTTATTCAATGATTTACATTTAGAATATTAATGTGCAGTTATTGTTTATAATTCGTTACAAGACACCCCGTACTATAATTCTATTACGACATTGCCGAACGCCAATGATCAGCCATTTTGAATTAACAGATTACGAACTTTTAGCAAAATGACAATGGAATCGTGTAGGAATGACAACACTTTGAAAATAGTAGACTCGGGCCCCTGGAAGTTAAGATGGCCACTTCTCATGCAAGAGGGGTTTGCAACCTGGTTAGTACCTATGTGACTTCTTCCGAGTATTTATTTAGTAAGTTAATTTAGAAACCATCGTGAAAATAGAAAATATCGTGAGGGCTTCCTCACGATATTTTCCTTTACCGTTTGCGTGCACCACCTAACCTAAGTTTCTAATACCCTATCCGCTTTGAGCAAGCGTGGCGATCAACGCTCAAACTTTCTCCAAGTGAGAAGAGGGCTTTGCTTAGCAGTGTGGGCACTTATAGGCTGATGATGATAACGATATGAAGCTAAAGCTGCAACAGAGATGCATAATCCATCAACAGTGTAGCTATCACTGTTTATGAGATATACATATAGCCAGATCACAGACAGACAGTCTGACATACGGACAGCGTAGTCTTACTAGTAGCTTTTTAACCCTTTGACTACGGAACCATAAAAAAGTACGTTCAACTTCCTGACATAAAAAAAACATATACAGACCAAAGAAACAGGCAATAACTCCTAATGTTTAATATTAAGTCAAGTTAATCCGACATAAGTGGAGTGGCTGGACAGCGTTTACAAATGGCGACCCCAGCATTTGTATATACTCCGGGGAGGCGGCGAACCTCCTTGCCGGATCACCGCCGTGGGATCTAGAAGCGAAGGCGCTCGCGCGCGTCTACAGTTTGCGCGCAGACGCGCGTCGCCGGGGCGAAGATCCTCTGCCGCGCCAAATAAGTGCGTGGCGGAATGAGCTCCGGCGAGATCTCATGGCAGAGTGGAGACAACGACTGTCGCAACCGAGGGCCGGGCACGCTACCATAGCAGCGGTAAGACCCCTCTTTGAGGAGTGGCTTGAGAGACGCCACGGCGTCCTCACCTTCCGTCTGACGC